CCCAAATGTAGTGTATTCATTTAAAAGACTAATTTGGACCACCACAAATGAAACTCATGCAGCTTGACAGGGCTGAAAAACAAACCCATATCCATAATTTTTTCTATAGGCATTACCATAGACGTGGTGATCACACAGAAGAAACTAATAGCCTGCATGATTTATACTCATACCTAATCTCACCCTCACTTAAATAATATGCAATATAAATGAGTTCCTAACATATCAGGCCTCTGGCTAATGCCATCCTACTGCAAGTAAGGTTTTACCCATAAGCCAACATATAAAAATGCCACTGATTTAGAGGAAATATCATAGAATCATAGAACAGTTAGGGTTGGAAAGGACCTTAAGGTCACCTAGTTCCAATCCCCCTGCCATGGGCAGGGACACCTCACACTAAACCATGTCACCCAAGGCTCCGTCCAACCTGGCCTTGAACACTGCATCACAACTTCCTTGGTCAACCTGTTCCAGTGCCTCACCACCCTCACAGTAAAGCACTCCTTCCTTATATCTAACCTAAACTTCCCCTGTTTAAGCTTCAGCCCGTTACCCCTTGTCCTATCACTACAGTCCCTGATGAAGAGTCCCTCCCCAGTATTCTTATAGGCCTCCTTCAGATACTGGAAGGCTGCTGTGAGGTCTCCAACCTTCTCCAGGCTGAGCAACCCAACCTTCTTAGCCTATCTTCATATGGGAGGTGCCCCAGTCCCCTGATCATCCTCGTGTCCTCCTCTGGACTTGTTCCAGCAGTTCCATGTCTTTTTTATGTTGAGGACACCAGAACTGCACACAATACTCCAAGTGGGGTCTCATGAGAGCAGAGTAGAGGGGCAGGATCACCTCCTTCAACCTGCCGGTCACACTCCTTTTGATGTGGCCCAGGATACAGTTGGCTTTCTGGGCTGCAAGTGCACACTGAAGCCAGCTCATGTTAAGTTTCTCATCAACCAACACCTACAAGTCATTCTCCACAAGGCTGCTCTGAATCTCTTCTCTGCCCAACCTGTAGCTGTGCCTGGGATTGCTCTGACCCACATGTAGGACCTTGCACTTACTTGGCTTGGTTGAACTTCATGAGGTTGACACTGGCCCACTTCTCAAGCATGCCAAGGTCCCTCTGGATGTCATCCCTTCCTTCCAGTTTATCAACCGAACCACATAACTTAGTGTCATTGGCAAACTTCCTGACGGCACTCTCAATCCCACTGTCCCTGTCACCAACAATGTCGAATAAGACAGGTCCCAACACTGAATCCTGAGGGACAGCACTCGTTACTGGTCTCCAACTGGACATCAAGCCACTGACCACAACTCTTTGCGTGCGGCCATCCAGCCAATTCTTTATCTGAGTGGCCCACCCATCAAATTGATGTCCTTCCAGTTTAGAGACATGGATGTTGTGCAGGACAGTGTTGAACACTTTGCCCAAGTCCAGGTGGATGAGACCAATTTCCCCTATCCATCAGTTCTGTAGCTCCATCATAGAAGGCCACCTTAATATGCAGATTCCTGAAGAGGCCAAATTCTGCTCTCTTGAAGTCCAGGGCAGTGAGCTGGATCTGTGCCCTTCTCATTGCCCCAAGCATCTCAAACTTGATCATCTCACAATCACTAGAGCCAGGGCTGCCCTGGAGTGTCACATTCCCAAACAGCCCCTCCCTGTTGGTGAGCAGGAGGTCAAGCATGGCACCTCTCCTTGTTGGCTCCTCTATGACTTGATTGTGTGGAAGTTGTCTTCACAATCAATGAACCTCCTGGATTGCTTGTGCCGGCCCGTACCGTCCCTCCAAGAGATATCAGGGTGGTTGAAGTCCCCCATGGGGACAAGGGCCTGTGAGTGTGAGGCTGCTCTTATCTGTCTATAGAGCACTTCATCCACAGAGTCCTCCTGATCAGGCGGTCTTTAACAGACCCCCACAGTAATGTCCCCCATTGCTGTTCTCCCTTTGACCATGACCTGTCCCCAGACACACGTCCATAGTCTCTAGCCTATCACTGATATAAATAGCTGTTCCCCCCCCATCTGCCTTGCCTGTCTTTCCTAAGGAACCTGTAACCTTCCATTCTAACACTGCAGTCATAAAAGCCATCCCACCATGCTTCTGTGATGCCAATGATATCATACCCCCATAGATGTGCACACATCTCTAATTCATTTTGTTTATTCCCCATACAGGAGTTTGTTTAGAGGCATCTAAGCCAAGCTCCAGATGAACCCGACTCATTGGCTGGAGCAGCTGAAATAGCTCTGCATTGCTTCAAGTGTTTATTACACGTGCTGGCAACTGACTGGGAGTGTTGGGATGAATTGATGTCTCCTTCCTATAACACATCTAGTTTAAAGCTGCCTTGACCAGCCTGGCAAGTCCCCTATCAAAGCAGCGCAGACCAGCTCCAACAGCCCCCAGTAGACCTGGCCTCCCAGATCAGCTCCCATGTTCTAAACCAATCCCCTGACTATGGCACCACCCTTCTATCCATTTATTAACCCGCCAAATCCGCCTGGCCTTTTTCAGGTCCTCCCCTTTGACCTGGACAATCAATGAAAAAGCTATAATGAAAAAGACAATGAAAAAACTCCAGAGCCCCTAACCACATCTCCCAGGGCTTCGTAGTCCTTTATGAGTCCCAGGCTACTGCTGTCTGTATCACCAGACCACCAGAAGCTGGTAATAGTCAGTGGGACTTACTAGAGCAGGCAGCCTCCCAGCAACATCCCTGATGCGAGTCCCTGCTAGGCAACGCACTGGGTCAGGCCAACAGACAGGTGCCTCTGCGCCCTTCGACGTAGAACCACCTACTACTGTGACCCACCACTTTCTCCTGGAGGCACCAGTAGTGATTCTCTTCACCGGTGCATCAGCTGGTTGTTCATCTGGTGCAGTGGGTGTTTCCTCATTAGCCCCCTGCAGAGCTGTGAAGTGGTTCTGGGTGGGGATGTGGATTTCAGAGGAAGCCCCTTGGTTTTAACTGTCCTCTTCCTCCTTTTTTGTACGTTACTAGCTCCCAGCTCCCTGGGTTGATGACCTCCTCCTTTTCTGTTTGCCCCACCGTGGCCGCCTGTGGTCCCTGAACAGTTTGAGCCTGAGCAAGCAGCCCGGCTCCCTCTCAGCTCCCCGGACCCCTTTCAGCTACTGACAGTGTCCCGCAGCTCAGCCCCTGCTGCAGCAGGACCTCCACCGGGGCGCACCGAGCGCAGCCCTGCCCACCGCGCACCCTCCCTCACGAGACCAGTGCAGGCCCTTTCTGCACCCCGAGCTCTGCGCTGCAGCCTCGCCTCTCATCGCCTCTGTCTGGTGCCGACGCTGCCACCGTCGGGGCTCCCAGACCGGGGCCCTGAGCCGAACGCTCCCCATCTCCCTCGCGCTGGCCTGCGCCAACCGCCGCGCCACGCGCTGCTCACGCGCTCCCTGGGTTGAGCTTTACCGGCTCGGGGCGGGGCCGTCCCTCCTGAGCGGGGCCTGGCGAGGGCTCGAGGCTCCCTCGGTGGCTGTCGCCGCTCAGAGCTGGGGCTCCTGGACGTGGGGTTTCCCCTTCCTCCGGAGCTGAAGGCTCCTCTATGGAGGCACTCACCTCGGCGAATGACCGTTACTGGCCGACGAAGACCGGTTTAAATCTGCCTATCCAACAACTACACAAGTACTGTCTTTCCCTTGCATGCTGAATCTTCCCTAAAAAGAGATGGTGAAATCTGCCAGCCCCCAACATGTAGCCAAAGTCAAGGTAATAGGTTCTGAAATCCAGACCCACCATTTTTAAAGTTCTCAGGCAATTCTGTGGTGTGCTTTTTACCTTGTTTATTGCGTACAAAGATGTAAAATCTTTCAGAAGTAGTGCTAAGGCTGTAACGATACTTTGACAGTTTAAAACATGCAAATTACATTTGGATGGGTGGAAGCCACAGGGCAACAAGAGCTTACAGGTGCAATACAAAGTACCTTGGTGACTAAAAAGAACGTAGCTCTGATACTAACTGGCAGCAGACTTTGGCTGTGCCTTGAGCTGAGGTAGGGTTTAACATATTATCATCAAAATAAGGTGGAGGAAACTGCAGTTGAAAATAATTCTGCAGTGAAAATATTTAAAGTATTATTCAGATCAAATTCTTCTCCCACTGACATCTCAGGCAGTCTGGCTCCCATAAATACAGGCTTTGTCCTACCCCTCTTGCAATGTGAGATTCACCAGGTGACAACCTGCAATTCATAGGAAGTATATTTCATAAAGAAATCGAAGATTGAGTAATTCATCAAGGCTTGAAACACATAATACACTGTGTATGATCTATAATCTATATTCTCAGAAAAAAAACACCAAACATGATCTCATTCCTCAGAGTAAACAAAGGGAGTTCAGGAACTCCCGTTCCTACAAAGCCATGAGAAGTTGCCAGCAGATGCAAAATGTAGCCAGTTAATTCAGAAACTAGCGTCTTTCAAAATCAATACTGAAAGTAATGTAAATTTATTGCCAAACGTGCCTACTCTTTCCACCAAAGTTGGAAATTCTTTTCAAAATGCACTTATGTGGAGACATTCAGTTGTATAAAATGCACCCGAAGTATTTGGAGATGTTCAGCCACAGTTGAAAAATAGGTCAAAACAATAATAGCACTGCTTAGAGCAGTATTTCTTTAAGATAAATTAGCAGCAGCCTTTAATTACTGTTGAACAGGATCACCTCCTTGTGTACTCCTGATTGCACGTTCCAACCAGTTTCATCAGGATTTGCAGATGTGCAACACCTGCCAGATTAGTCCCCATGCTAATAAATGAATGTAGTACACTTCCATTAAAAAAAATAATCATAATAACGACTAGGACATAAGTCTGTCGGCCATGGGAAGAATACAAGGTTGATTTTCAAAGAAACAATCATTAATGCTTCCAGTAAGCGTTAATCACGCTGCTTATTCCCAAGCGGCATTCACGTACCAACAGCTACCGGAGCCAGCCACCATTCCACCGCCTCCCGCGGGCTGAAGCGCTCCTCCCCTTCCTCTCACGGCCGGAAGCAGGGCTACGTGTGTTGCTGCAGACATGGAGTACATGGCGGGGCCGGCGGCTCCCACCCAGGGCAACATGTAAGTGCTGGCGGCGACGGCCGGGCCCCGGCGGTGGGACGGCCTCGGGGCGATCTGCTGTCGCGGGGGGTACCTGGGTGGCAATGAATCAGGCGGGAGTTGACGCTTTTCTCTGGGGGGAGGGGAGAATAGAATAAAAAATAAATTAAAACTTCTCTGCGAGCCTTCGGTTGCCCCCGAGGGTTCTTGTGGCCGTTACCCCGACGTGCTGTTTGTGACTGACTTTTTTCCTTCTTTTCTAGTCTCTGTTGCCACTGCGGCATACCCATTCCTCCCAACCCGGCCAACATGTGCGTGGGGTGCCTGCGGGCCCAGGTGGACATCACCGAGGGCATCCCCAAGCAGGGCACCCTCCACTTCTGCAAGCAGTGCGAAAGGTGGGCAGCCGGGCCCCTCCTGAGGGGAACCGGTCCTCGGTGCGGCTGGGAAGTGGGGCAGTGTCCGGCACCCTTTCCCGGTGCATGCTTTCTTCAGGTCTCATGATTTCTTGGCACGTTCTTGTATTTATTTTCCTGTGGAAGTAGAAAGGTGTGAGTATATAGAGTGTAGGATATTTAAATGAGTATGTTTATGGTCTTTGAAAAGAAAAAAGTGAAAGGATGACAGTAAGAGTGTGAATGTACTTGAAATGTGTAAATCCTAGTGCTTAGGGAGGCAAAAATTGTAGCTGCATAGTTAATATTAAAGCTGAAAGCCTGGGAAATATCTGCTTTTGAGTGTTTTAAATTACTGAAGCTGCTTTAATGTACTGTAAAATGTTTCATTATATGTATCGTATATCAAATGTATCATAGGTATCTTCAGCCTCCAGGAACCTGGATCCAGTGTACCTTAGAATCAAGAGAGCTTCTTGCTTTGTGTCTTAAAAAAATCAAAGCTTCGCTGAGCAAGGTTAGATGCTAATCCTATTGGTATTTCGTGGCATGTCTTTTGGTTGGTATTGCATAAAGTGGTCCCAGTAACTTATGCAGGGTTCGATCCTTACAGTGCAGCTCTTTGTACTTGTGTAGAGCTGATCAACCGATTTTTAGTACACAGAGAGAGTGACAATCTCATCTTAAATAGCTGTATATTGGAATTTGGGAGAATGCAGTAAGGACAGGCTCTTACAAAAAATTTCCAAGTGTGCTGAGGAGGCTTTTGCATTTCAGTTCTGTGACTTCAAAGCATGCAGTGTACTGCACAGTTGTTACTCTATAGAAGGGAGTTGAGTATAATTAACTGAAGGAAACTAATATGTTTTTAATGCACCTTAATCTTATAGTTTTCTTTTTACAGTTTTTTAAAATCATTTATACAATACTTCTTACCAGTTTATAACAACATGAAAGAGGGTTGTACAGGGGTATATATAGATTAAATTGAAGTAAAGTGTTTAAATTGAATAAAGTATCTCTTAGGTTCAGAGTCTTACCAGGGGAAAAAAATCTGAGATAGTGTTTTAGGCAAAAAATTGTTTTGTTCAATCAATTGATTTTGTTCAATCAAGGTTTGAATTAGATTGCCTTATTGAGCTTCTTGCTATCAGGTTAGTGCTTAAATGTACAAAATGTCTTTTTCTGCAGTAAATTTGCATGTTCTTAGTTTTAGAGATGAAATTGGCTTTTAGGTCCTGAGGAAACTTATACTATCCCAATTCATCATTATGTGGCATCCAGCAATAGTGTCAAATAGTGTGTTCAGTTACTCTGCTGTGACAGTCTGAGTTTGGATTGCCATTACTTTAGGTAGAACAGACTTGGTGTACTAACTAAGCATTATCAGTTAAGTTGGGCGTACTGATAAATATGGTTTTAGTTAAGGTTATTCACTGCTGCTTGGCTGAGGATCTATTAACTATAAGCTTGTGTTTTGTGGTAGTTAGAGCTGCGCATTTTTAACATGCGTGGGCAGTAGCCAAGTTCATGTTCTTTCCCATTGGCAGGTCCGGCTGATTGATGCAGGCTTTATTTGGACTGAACCTCATTCTAAGAGGCTGAAGCTGAAATTGACTGTTCAGAAAGAGGTAATCAGAGTGTATGGTGTTCACTGTGTGTCTTTTATGGTAAACAGGAGCTACTGAGGAAATCTTTTAAACTTCTGTTTTGCAGGTGATAAACGGAGCAGTTCTTCAGCAAGTATTTGTGGTGGAATATATAGTGCAGTCTCAAATGTGTGAAGACTGTCATAGGATTGAAGCTAAGGATTTCTGGAAAGCTGTAGTGCAAGTCAGACAAAAGGTAGAGGCAAACTGAGTTTTCATTTTTGATGGCAGAACAATCAAGCAGACAAATATTTGGATGATTTTCTCAGAAAAAGATGGACTCTCACTTGCACACTGCCGAAGTGATAAATTTTATGTTCAAAGTGGGTTTTTTTGTTTTTCTTACAGATGCTGGTTTAGAAAAACTTTCTTCTGTCTAGTATTATTAGTGTATTCTTTTTAAATGATGGCTGGCAGGAGGTTCTTTTGTGAAGTACTAAATATCCTGTATTTTAAGGTAGTGTTAGAAACAGTGGGACAAATAGTATTTTCTTGGAAGAAAATTTAAATATTCAGAAACAGTCTCTAACAACCAGTTACACAAAAATGAGAAACAAAAGCTGTAAATTATTTGGTACACTTAGAGCGCATCTCTGAATCTTTTTGGTTACTTGGAATAGGCTTTGAACTGGTCTTTCTCTAGATGGCCCCTTCATATAAACACTTAGAGATACTGCATTTACACTAGAAAGTTCATAAATAACCCTAATAATTTTATTTTTGGTTTTAGACTCTGCATAAGAAGACTTTCTACTACTTGGAGCAGCTGATTTTAAAACACAGGCTTCATCAAAATACGCTTCGCATCAAAGAAATCCATGGTAAGTGAGGGAACTTGTTAGTCTAGAGGTAGAATAGACTAACCTGTTTGATATCGGAAGAGTGCTTATGCTAGTAGCTATGTATGGGTAAGCAGGAGATTACTTAGCGTGTGTATTGTATTTGAAAAAAAAAAAAACCACATAGTACTTGAAATGTTCATCAAGCTTTCTTTTCCTTAAGATGGCCTGGATTTCTATTATTCTTCAAAGCAACAGGCCCAGAAGATGGTAGACTTTCTTCAGTGTACGGTTCCATCTAGGTATGTCATTTACCTTTATTGCTATGGGTACTCAAAAGCTTTTGGGAAATGTCTTTTGTCCTTTCATTTTTAAAGAATTTTGTTTGTGAAGGTGTAAAGAACCTGCATTCTAGTTAAAACACAAAATACCTTCTACAGAAGTCCTGTATTTTCCTCTTAGGCATTTTAAAACTAGCCCTCATGCATTTTTCTGTTTCCTTAATTTTTGTATTTGTAGTATATAGCTCTGTACTTCCATTGCTGTACTTTGTGCTGATTACCTCCTGTTCCAAGTAATGTCCTTATTGTTGCCTGAAGGCTCTATTTTTGTCTTATAGATCAAAATCATCCCAACGTTTGATCTCACATGATATTCATAGTAATGTCTACAATTACAAAAGCACTTTCTCTGTGGAAATAGTTCCAATATGCAAGGTAGCGTTCTGTATTTCATCTTCAGCATGTTGTATGAAGTGGGTGGAGTTTAGTTTTGATGATGAAAGCCTGATTTGTTGTGTATTTGGGGGGATGTGAAGGGCTCTACTTGCCACAAACCAAGGAAAGTGGAGATAGCACTATTTTGAGGAAGTTACAGGGTGGAGAACTGGAAATAGAAAGTTTAAAAATCTATTTCCCTAAATACTCTAAAGAAGTTTTCTCTAAATACTTGATTAAAAATCAAGTAAATCTGAGTGTAAATTATTTTCTGTTTGTATGCAGGACAGTGTTGTATGCCTGTCACCAAAACTGGCACAGAGCCTTGGGAACATGAGCCAGATCTGTGTGTGCATTAGAGTAACAAGTGCTATTCACCTCATTGATCCTAGCACTCTGCAGAGTAAGTTGCAGGTTCTTTTCTGCACTGCAGCAGCATCTGATTTTTCTGCTGGCACAATTATTTTTATTTTTGATTTCATGAAATCATTTATTTTGAGATCTTAATGTTGTAAATTTATCTGTACAATCACTGATGTAGGAATTTAATAGCAAACTAGGACATAGTTCTCTAAACTTGATTTCTGTAGTATCCTAGGTAAAATGGGAAGGCTCAGTGTTAAGTTCACTGATGTTCTTGGCCTCTTCTAAGCACTTGCGTTTGTCAGATGTATTCCTCTAAAATTAGATGGCATCTAGTTTTTCCCTGGATTGTGATTCTAGCTGCAGTACCAGAAGCACTCTGCTTTGATTGGTATATGCTGGTAAACTCTACCAGCAAAATGTTTCTAATAAGGATTACATCTGAGAAGGATTCTTGTGAATGAAAAGGTCTGTGCTTCACACGTGTTAACGCGATTTGTCTGTCCCAGCTCAGCTGCTCACATTTGCAGTATGGGTTATGTCCTAAGTACTTGTGTTACAATAGCAAACCTGAACAAAATACATTTGGCAGTGGCCTTAATTTTGCCTAATGGTTCCTTGTCATTTTAATTTCTTTGCAAGAATTTCTCTCCCTTGTCATTTATTACCCACATTGGTGTGTTTTTTCCAGTTGCTGAAATTGATGGGAATACCTACTGGCGCCACCCTTTCAATAGCTTGTTCCAGCCCAAACAACTGGAGGAATTTATCATTATGGATATCAATCGGGTTCAAGAAAAGAAAAAAGGTGCAGGTGCAGGAGCAAGATCCAATAAGGTAAAAAGAGTTCCTCTCTGTTTGATTCAGTGTTTTAGGCTGCCTTCTGCCCTCTCTCCCCTACTCAGCTGAATTTCTGTTCTCAATCATTCTGCCTTGCAGTCAGATACATGCTTTTCTGTCTTGCCTTCTTGCAAGACAGAAAAATCTTCTCAAGAAGATGTGGACAGTGGTTTGGAAGTTGCACAGGCATTGTGTGAATTCCACTTTCAGAAATTCTTTTCTGTTGAACAGCTTAAACTCTACTTGTTACTCTTATTACTGAAGTTGTTTTATATTAGCTTTGCAACTCTTCAATTATTAAATTGTTCCTGTTGAAGTGTAGAAGCTTTTCTTTCTAATCAGAGTTAATGAATCAGCACTAGAAGGTTTTTTTTCTGGGTCAGAGGTTGTATGTGGTTGAAAGTTATGAAGGAGAAAATTGAAATGAATGTCTAGTTGTAGAAATAGCCTTTGTGGATTCTTGTGAAAAGTAGTTGGCCTGTCCATTACCTTATTTTTGTAAAGACGAAAAATGAGAAGTAGCAACCAATGCATTTGGTGCTTGATGTAGAAATACAAGTTTAATTACAAATGTAATGTAAAACAGTAATGCAGCAGTGCAAACATTCTAATGGCATGGCCAGTTAAACTGCGTTTGATTACAAGGGTTATATTTTTTCCTTCCTCAAGCACATGCTGGCTGAAGCCTGGGTACAGAAAACCTCGGAGTTGAATACGGATCATCAGTATTTCTGCTGTACCCACTTGGGGCACATTCTGAATCCCGGCGACCTTGTCTTAGGGTCTGTTCTGTTTCTTGGTTTTTATTAAATGATTATTTAATGTCTGAATTATCTGGATTCTTTACAAGCTTGTATATTATTGAGAAAGTTTTGAACTGTTCTGATCTCTAAATCGGCAAAAGGGGTAGAATCTTCCATCTTGGCCATCAAAAGATGATTCTAGTATGGAAAATACTTGTTTCTAGCAGAAATCATCTTGTCAAAAGGGTCGTTAGTAATAAGAGAGCTGAAGTATTGTCTTTAGAGTGCAGATTGGAATATCAGTTTAGACACAAATATATGGGGGGACTTTTAAAATACTAGGCAAGATCTTTTTGTTAGATAGTAGTTATCTTATACAGCAGTGCAAAATTTTTGTAAGATTAGGCAAGTCAGGCGATTCTCAAACAAGCTAAAACATGAATGCTTTTGGAACTGTTGTGAGCCCAGCAGAACCTCAGTGGAATTGAAGTTTGGGTTCAGGAGCTTGGGATATGATACATTGAGTTGGATTTTGTAGACTTGCATAAAAGGGCAGGATAAAATAAGTATTTTTGGTTTAGATTCGACTTAGCGAACTGCAACTTAAATGATGAGTTTGCCAATAAGATGAACCCACGCAATATTCCTGATGTGGTAAGACCATTTTCTTTATCTGTACAAGGTTCTCTGCATTACCTGGGGCATTGGGAAGTATGGGTTTATAATAAACACTCATTATTTTTGTAGTGAGTGGGGGATATTAATATTGAAATAAAAAAGAGGGGCATTAATATTGAAATGTGAATAGGATATAATTTTGAGAATTGTTTTTTCACCACTTAAATACTTGAGTGGTAGTTAGATAATTCATTAACTTGCCTTACTCTTTGTTGTTCTTGTTCGAATTACCATGCATTGTGTGGTGAAAACTGTATTACAGCTCAGGTGTGTTTCTCTTCAGCGCATAATCCAAAGTGTTTGGAAACTTTTGAATTAACAAATGCTATATAAATTCTGTATGAAACATCTCGGTGCCAGACTGACTGTGATACTTGTTCAGCTGATTTTACAGTTGCCCAAGTCTAGACTTGGGTGTTGCTTTGGATTTTGAAAGTGTGTCATCAGTAGCATCGAAGGTATGAATGTGTAAATACGTGCTGGTTTTCACTGTAGGTATTAATAAAGAAGAGCTATGATCGTACCAAACGCCAGCGTCGCAGAAACTGGAAGCTGAAAGAGCTGGAAAGGGACAGAGAAGGCATGAATACAGATGATGAAAGGTTCGGTATCTGCCATGAAGCTTTTCATTCCCTTCAACTTGGGATACTGCACCTAGAAATCTAGAAGTGTAGAAATAACGCTTCTCAGTTTCCACTGAGGATAAGTGCAATGTAATGCCTAAGATGTGTATCAAGGGGGCACAAGCAAAAGGTGCTAGTTCTGTCTGAGCATGATGGTGGCTCATAGGAGAGGTTGATACCAGTGTTCTTGGAAGAGCAGTATGTCTGTGTTACATATATCTATGTAAGGCAGGAGTGCTTTAAATATACGCACCTTTCTTAGGCTTATCCTCTCTTGACTGCTCAGTTTTTGGGGAACCGAGGATGCTGAGGACAGCAGGCCAGTGGGTGTGGAAACAGATTGAATTCTGAAATCTTAAAGATAACACTACAGGTTTTTCAGGTTTACTGTTGGAAAATATGAAAGGTACTTTTATGTTTGTTTTTTTTTCCCAGAAAAGCTTAAATTGTGAGACAAGTGAATAATACCAGAATCATTGTTTGTATACCTTACAGTTGTTGTCTGTCTAGCTAAAGGGACTCTTATGCGAAAATATGCTTGTCACTGTTTCTTTCAGTGACAAAGCTGATACAGCAACAGCAGATCTAAATAACATTCAACTGAGTAAAAAAAATTAGAGTTAAATGGGGACAGGCAAATTATTTGGAAACTAATAGGTGATAATAAAAAAAAAAGGTGGAAAGAATGAGTTAGAAATGTGGGAATGCTATCAGCCTGTCTGAAAGACTATGAATTCCAGTCCTTCCTTGGAGCTGTGTTTCTTTGATTTAATTTTGTTTTATAAATTTGCATAAAGGAAAAGTGAGTAAATAGGTTAAGCATCTTTTACAGACAATACCAAGACTTCCTTGAAGATCTCGAAGAAGATGAAGCCATAAGGAAGAATGTCAACATCTACAGAAGTAAGGCCTTTTTAACCACTGAATTGCATGTAATGAAATCATGACAGTTTGAGTCAAAATATGTTTACTAAAGTTCTATATTCAGATTATTTGAACTCCTCATGCCTAGAAAAATGCTGTAGTGTAAAAGCTTCAGGTATTCAGTATATTTCACATGCACTGTATGAATGTTGATAGGTTTTGTTTGCTTGTCATTAACATGAGAGAGAAAAGCATATTTTCTCCCACACCCATAAACTCTGCTGGTTGGTGGAGGATTTGATACATAATATAGTATCTTCCATGAGTGCCATTACCATGGGATTGTTTGTTTTAGGAGGGATTTGTTTGTTAGTTGTTTTTGTTGATTGTTTTGGGGGGTTACATTTTTAGTTCTCCTTCCTTGGGATTGGTATTTTGTTTGCTTATCTGTTGGGTTTTTTTTTCTGTGTGTGTTTAGATGCAGATGTTCCAGTGGAGAGTGACACAGATGAGGATGGTCCTCCACGAATCAGTCTGGCTGAAATGCTAGAGGATCTCCATATCTCTGAGGATGCTACTGGTGGGGAGGGAGCAAATATGATGACAGAATAAGAATAGTGCATTAGTCAATGCAATAAATATTCCCTTGCTAAGGAAAAAGTACCTAAAACACATAAACTGATCACATGAACATGCAAAGTGATGTGATAACTACTGCTATACACCTAAGTAATGGGCCTGAATTAATATTTTATATATATCTTCTAGAAAATCAGCAATTTAAGTTAAATTTCTGGTGCAGACATTGCAGTATAAGCTCCACATGTTCTTCCCTTCCCAGAGAGCTCTGTCCTTGAAACTTCAGCAGTGTAAAGGTCATCTGACTATCATCAGAGTTATCCATTGGGAGTAATCAATTGGCTTATGCTGAAGACAACTGATAAAGAAGGATGTCTAGAGGGAGAGATTTCATTATTCTTTGCCCAATTTGTAGGTAGGATGCCTACCTACTGTTTACTGCCTTAATTTCTTCACATGGGAAGGATTTTTACTGTCTTAATCTTTTCAGCATGATGGTTGAAGCATGTTGTGATACTGATTTTTTTCTATACAACAGTGTGTTGGGGAAGCTCAAGAATGTAGCTTCTATTCCTTTGGTAAAGGAACTCCAAAGATCCATGTTGTGTACACACAAGAAACTTCCCTGTAGATTGATAGAAGATGCAGCCCTTGATGAGAGAAATTGGAGACTTCTGTTGAGTGTGATGAGTGTTGTACTATATTCCATGCCTGTATGAGTGGATTAAAGCAATATGCATAATGTCTAATTAATACATCAGGTATGAACTATTAAAAAGCTCCACACATTATTTTTGGTCGATCATTTTTTAGTTAACTTTATAATCAAATTTCACTCTGCTGTAAGCCTGAAGAGAACATAAGTGATGTAGGAGGACATTACGTTCTTAAATCCATCTTGTTCTAATTCATGTTTCTGCACAGAAGCAGTTCAATAAAAATTCTACTAACAGTTTATGAGAATACAGATTTGATTTAACTTAATGTAAATACAGAAGCACAGCTTAGAATGATTTTGCCACTGCATTTTTTTTTTTAATGTAAGGAAAAAAATGTTCTGAAATAACTGGCATCTGTAAAGGAGGGAAATTCTAACAATGTAATATTGAAAAAATAAAGATGTGTAGGATTAATCAAACAAAAGATTCCTTTATCAAGGATCTGTATAGCTTAAGTGAGAACACTTATAGTTTGCCTCTGCTTGTAATAGGAGGGTTGAAAATAATGCTATTTCCCTGTAGTATTGCCAGAGAAAGTGGCTGGAGCACCAGTCTCTATTTCATCATACTTCACATCCTTTCAAGGCCTCAAAGAAAAGCTAAGAAATAATCAAGGAGTTGTTTGTGTTCAGCTTCCTGCCGTGTGTGAATGATTCTTATCCTTTAGTTTAAGTGTCAGGTTTTGCTAAGTGTTTTCCAGCAGGTGTGAATCTCTGGGATTTAGAGCTACCTGTGACCCCAGGCAGTTATACCATTTAAGGCAAAGGTATTTTTGATTGTAAAAAGTGGAGCTAGGTTTAGTTACCAGTTACTCATACTTAGTTTTTATTCTGCCTCACAGTCTTCTAATAATCCACTTGTAAAGGGGGAAAACTTGGAATTTGCAAAGACAGTTCTGATGCAGCGAAGCTCTAAGCTGTCTGTTAGCAGTGTAAGCAGTGCCATCTTTTACTCTGTGTCACACTAAGCTCTTCTGCTTCTGCTCTTGGGAGTTTTGTCATGGGTTTTTACTGTGTAAAACGGTTAAGAAAACTCCATAAAGCTGCTGGGAATTAAAGGTACAAGTTGTCTCATGATGATAATTTAGTTCAGTATAGGGAAGGTGTAAAACCATGCTTAAAAGATACATATGAGAATGCAGCTGCATAATCTGAATTATCACTGCAGTAAATATTGCACATATTTTACAGTAGCTACATCTGCTAGTAGTGCTGGGGAGATAAACTCAATTCCAGTGACCATTGGGCCAAACCTGGAGAACTTTAATTTGTAACCTGTGGGCAATGAATGTGTTCTAGTATCCACATGAGGTGCAGTTTGGGTTCTGATTTCTTCTGACAGAGGTAAAAATGATGAAGCCTTTATCTGCTGTAGTTTGGCAATAGCTTCCTGTTGTTGGCAGGTGAAGGGGGAGCAATAAAAGCTCATTTTAAACTGCTATTTTGGTCAAGAGTTTTCCTTCCTCTAATATTTTTCTTCAGTAGTGTGTCTCAGAAATTTCAGGTGTATTGCTGTCTTGTCTGTCATCCTGTTTGTTACTGGAGATGTTGCTCTTCCTACCCCTTCCTCCCCCTGCCAGGGTCCATTGCCAATCTGTATTAGGTTTCAGGCATCTTTCAGCAAGAGTCTTGCCTGGAACAGTCTCCTGCTGTAGCTGCTAGGCAAACAAGTCATAAATCTAAGTATATCGCTTGAGTTTTCATGCATCTGTTTGCTGGCTGGTAACACATAGGAACAGCTCTCCAATGAGTGGGTAAGTTATGTATATTTGAAACCAAAGGTAGTTCTAATTTAAGGTTCCCTACAGTGTCCCTTTTACATTTAAATGTAAAATGGTTGGGAGCCAAAGCAGTCTTAAATGGTGTTCCAGCAAATGAAATGTTTGCCAAGGCCTTCTCACTAACACCAGGTGGGTGAGTAATTTGACAAAATGTACTTAACTCACAATTGATAAAAGGCTGCTACTTATCCTGCGCCTATTTCTGAAAATCTCTCTTGAGCCACAGCTTTTCAGTCGTAAGTACTTAATGATGAATTTTCACTCAGATTTTGATGAATTTTGAATTGGAAGAGTTAAAGCATATTGTCCCAGTGGCTTTCTTAGGGAGGATGGGGGATTTGCTTTTGAAATGTGAATATATGCTCGTGTGTGTTCCAGATTTGGTACAGAGTCTGTGTGATAGCGACTACCAAGTGGCAGCAGTACATACTGTAATTTATGAATTGGATGCAGATGTAAAAGGGCTGTCTGAAGCAGTTACATGATGGTTAAATTTGAAGTGTACTCACCACATGCAGCAAGCTAGTAGTAAGACTAAAAAGAAAAAGAAGCACAGCAAGCTGGTGAGATTCTGTTTCAGCAGAGAAGTTTTGTCCTTCAAAACAGCCAGCATTTTATTCTTCCAGAGACAAGGCTTTTACAGCGAGAAACCAAGGAAGGTTTGGTCAGCCTCTCAGCCCTGTCAGACCAACTCTCCTGGCGAGGAAGTAGTTACTCAAGCTAACTTAATTTACTTAAGTAACTTAAGCTACTTTTCTTATCTGCCACCCCATCCTTCCAGGTGAATTACTGGGGGAGAAGAAAGAAGACAGAAAATGCAAGACTGGATCTAAACTTTGAGGGGTTTTGGTGCTGAATTCCCATTTTGCTTAATGGTGAATCATTTCAGGGGGTCGGTTGCCTCAGCAGTGTGTGTGCAGTAACTCCCCAGAGCACTTGATTCTAGATCATTGTAAATTTGATCATTTGAAATTCAAAGTTCTTACATCAAAAATAAGCAGCTGTCCCGAACTTTGTAATAACTGAAAGTTTTGCTCACAGAAAATGGTGGAGTATGTTATGTGGCATGTCAAACCTGAGGGCGCAAAATGTGTCTGCTTGAGGGGAAACAAATAGCCAGGAAGGGGTGGTTGGGGTATGCAAGCACTATTTTTTAGATTTTTTTTTTTTTTTTTAACAGAAAAAACCTAGTCTTACTGATGAAAATCTAAGGATAAGGATTTCACCTTTAACTGCTTTTTAAAATCTGTTAGTAAAATCTCTTATGTAATTACAGAGGTTCCCAAATACATTTCAGATGTAAATTACTCAGGTGAAATATTTATGGGAAAATACTGTTAAAATCATGCCATAAAACTCACCTTTGTACTAGAAGGACTGCTTCTGTGCCAATTTTGGGAAATTCCAAGCTGAGGAGTATGTGCTAATTGTTGAGTTACCAAACTGGTTGGGATTTCTAGTAAAATCAATGTTACTTTAGTCTCTTTTAGAATTAGCTTAAATATAGGCAATTACAGGGGAATATTGTGTCATATTTTTTTCCTTAAAGAAGTTAGACTAATACAGAGGTTGCTTCTGTTGGGTGGGTGGGTTTTGGCTGCGGGTATGGTGATGGGCTTTCACTGGATACCATTGAGAAGAGCCTGGCTCCTTTGTCTTTACCATCTCCCGTCAGATACGAAGACAGACAGATGTGATCCCACTGATCCTTCGAGCTGTCTCTTCCCCAGGCTAAGCAGTCCCAGGTTTCATCCTCTCTTCTGTCACAGTGCTGCAGTTATCATGGAAGGGAGGAAGGAGATACTAAGATGATCGTACTATTTTCAAACAGGGAATGTATTTTGGGAAAATCTACACATGTGAAATAGTGCTCATCCTCTCAGACCAGTGTAGCTGTAGATGTGATCCCTCTGCCCAAACTGCAGATTAGTTCCCGTATCAATCCTACATCCTCTCACATCAAATTGCTGAGTCTGATATGGGCAGGTACTATTAGACAAACTCATTTTACTTACTGTAATTGTAACGTGCTCAAGATGTAACACAAAGTGTCGGGTGTGCTGTGTCTTTCTGGGCCAAATGATCAAATCCACACTGCTTGAAAAGCAAGAAGTGCAGGTCTCGTTTGGGACAGGCGGCATGCACAGCAGGAGGCGCTAGCCCATTCTTCAGTAGAAGTTGCCACAGAAAAATTGAGACGTGCCTGCGATTAACGTGATGGTCCACCTGATGTCAGTATTCCCTCACGTTTAGCTGTTCTAAAGATGGCTATAAACTCAGAGAAACTTCTTGATGCCGATGTAGTTCCTAATATTTTCATTTAAGTTTAAAATAACACCAACCTAACGAAAAATAAGACAAAAGTGGCTTTGATCTTGATGTTAAAGCACTTACTCATAGCAAACTAATCCTGCCCCCAGGTTTGTCTCTACTTACACTTTGCCATGGCTGCTTATTTTAGTTGCATTAAACGAGCAATTAAATGTAGGAGCACGACTCGTGTTGCGTTTCAGAGGGGTTTTGGCAATGTTTCCTGCAACTTGTCCAGAACATAACCATGTAGCAAAGAATATTATTTGCCTTCATAAATCACTGATGTTTTCTGTACTTCACCTTCATTGCCAGTTTAGGATGGAAACTTGATTAAGGCATGTAAGAAACAGGAGATAAAGTTTAAAATTTGTCAGGATGTCAGTTCCATGGTGAAAACACAAAGAATAATCATAAGGAAAGATAAGCGGCTTCATGTAATTTGAATATTCAGCTTTATAAAATGAAACAATTACGTATGACACAAATCCACAGCTCATGTTCCTTTTCATATCAACTAAGAAAATGTTTCAGATGTGCCAAGGACTGAAAACACTTGGAAGATATTTTAGGATAATCTGTGCTCAGTGACAAGTTTTGTAAAATAGAAGGAAACTATTTAAGCTGTAAATTATTCAGCAGGTTGTTTTGCATACCACTTAGCACGATGAGGCTTTGTGCTGCATGGGTTGTAACAATTAACGCCTTTAATGTAGGTCTTTGTTAATTCATACCTTTTTGTAGGGTGGATCTGAGATATAAAGGGCTGCAATTTTTAACCCATACCTCTGCTGAAGTTAATTTATACTAATATATGAAAGCTTGACATATTTAAGCTGGTATGAATGCAGCAGAAGAGAAAACGCTTAAAGTTTCTTGAAGTCCTAGGTTTGTTTTAGACTTTTCTTTGAAAGGCAAATGATCATATTGAAAATAATTCAGAATAGGAGCCCTGGATCCCCTGAGGAAAGAAAGTGTTCAGGCTCTTCAAGGTTCCCTCTTGGAAGGCTCAGCGCCAGGTTGGCATGTATGTTCCCAACACTGCAGACCTGGAGGTAGTCTAAAAAATATCTAGACAAATTTCTGCATAAATACTATTCTATATGGTGTTTACACTGTACGATGGAAGTGTCAGCACTATATGAAGAATTCTTTTTCTGTAATAAAGAAGACTAAGCTTATGCAAAAAGTAGTTTCAGCTAAGCAGGCAAGTTAGGCAGAAAGTTTCAGCCAAGCAGGCCTGAATAATTTAAGGTCAGCTTTCTAAAAGGAAACTGATCTGCTGTAAACTCAACATCGTCCTAAACAAATTTATGCAAGATGAAAAGGAGGATCTTCTGCGGGATGCAGAGGCTCTCAAATGCTGACAGTTTCATCTTAGAGACAGGATTTTCAAGTCAGATAATTAATAGTTCAGATAAGAACTCAAATTACACTCAGATGTAAATAGTAGTAGAGGCAAAATGCATACATTGTAGTGGCAAAGCAAAAAAAAAGTAACAACAAGGATCATGAACTTCTCTGAGGCCTCTAAAAATTGTCAGAAGTGGTCAGTAGCAGAGAGAGTAAAGTTTTGTGTGAACAAAATCATCATCTTCATTGCCTTCAGGAAGGCAAACTATTTGGATCGATAAAATACAGTTGTAGTTTAATGAGAGATAAGCTGTAGCTGTCCTACAATAATAAACCTTCATAATGGGGACACTGAATCTGCCATAGTGTATTACAGCTGTAAAGATCAAACAGTTCCTAGGGAACAGCATGAGCAGCTTTATTTTAGCAGATGTTTATTATTTGTTCTTTAGTTTCAAATCTTGTTGATCCAGTGTTGGTAAATTGTACAATTTAAATATGAGATTCCTTTCAAAAATTCTTTTAAAATGTCAGCAAAGCAGTCCTGATGGTGCTGCACACCACCCTCACCTTCCTTTTTAAGGTAGAGTACCGCAGGGGCATTTCCTACTCCTCTTGTAACACTTTCTGTTTCAGCCATGCGTTAGTAAATCTAGCTTTGCAACACTTTCCATCAGGTTCCGAAAAGAAATACTGTGGCCACTTAAGGGCTGAGCCAGTACAAGCTCTGCTGATTGGACACAATTTTCAAAGGTGGAAACTCAGCTGAATGAAAACAATCTTGAAAAACGCCGAAGCAGACTCTTAAGAGTAGTCTCTGCCCCATGGCAGACAGCATTTGTTCTCACACAGCTGGGATAAACATGTGAAGTGCTCAGTGATTTTGATAGACACCAAATTACACCATGTCTGACCTTGATGAAATTTACATTGCCGGATGAGCATGCACAGGCCTGACCTCAGCAAATCTGGAGCCACAGCCACCTTCTAACAATTC